AACCCCAAAACAATAACTGCCATACATAGATCTGTATCGACCCTTGTAGAGGACCGTGTCACTGTATGTTGCTTCTTTGTCTTCCACGAAATAGGTGATTAGCCTAGGAACACAAGGCAAGCTGTCAAAGATCGCCGAGTAAGAGAACATGCCGCCCTATCTAAGTCACACCAACCCCTACAAATTTAAATCACAATCGGCGTGAAATTAAATTCCGTAACATGGAGTACCCTTTAAATAACCAACCACTTTTAATGCCGCATCCCAATGCTCAAGTCGAGGCTCTAGCATGATGAACTGTGATAATATATGAACAAAATATGCCAAATCAGGGCGAGTGACTATCCAAGATAAATCAAACAACCCACAAGACGATGGTAGGTCTCTAATCAGCAAGAAACTGTCGAGTTTCTGGTTTGGTCTATAAAAAACCCACTCGGTTTAGCCCCAACAAACTAGCTTCAGAAATGATGTCTTGAGTGTATTTTCTCAGACACAAAAATAAACCTACTGAATGTAATACCCCGTATTTTTATATGTATATTAAATTAAAGTGTTATTTTATGGCGTATTCAAATAATTTAAAATGAATTATTTATTGTTTTTTTAATAATTTAAAATATCTAATTAAAAACTCATTTATATTTATTTATTTGGCTTCATAATTATTCTATTTCATCAATTTAGAAGCTTTGGGGCACTTTGAAATTATAAAGGAGTTTAAAGCCAAAAGGATTTTTATTAAAGTCAAAATACCAATTTGAATGAGAATGTGAATCATTAAGGGTTAAAAGGGAAATTAAGTTAAGAGGGTTTGAGAGGGAGTATAAATACCGAATGAGCAAATTAGACAATGTGGTGAATACCTAAAGGTAAACTCTCTTTCTTTCTCCTCTTATTTTTCTTCTCTACCTCACAAACACTCACACACACGCACACTAGGTTGGCCGCCGCCACCACCACCACTTCATACTGGCCGACCACCGCCACTAGCATCAACCGACAGCAGCACACACACACACACACACACACACACAATCTTCTCTTTGTGTGATGATTTTATGATGTTTTAATGATGATTAATATGTATATAATTTTCAGATTTGGTTTCTGAATTAGAAAGCTTCAAATCGATAAATCCTAGGTTTCTAAATTGATGTTTATTGATGAAATTTAATTGTAGTTGATTAACAAATTAATGTTTTTAAACTAAATTACAGCAAGTTTAAGAGTTTTTATAATGCTGGAATTTTTATGTAGAGGCTAGAATTAAGTTTTCTTGAAGGTATTTTAATTACCCATTAATTGGGAATAAAAGTGAGTGGTTTTAATTAATTTCCAGCATGTTTTAGAAGGTTTAAAGTGTTTTAAAGGGTGCATATATTGCGGAAAATTAATTATGAATAAGTATTAATGTCTCTTTGTAATTTTGGGTTGTAGGAGACTTCCAAGTGAGTGATTTTATGTAGTTGTGGCAATTTTGAGATCATATTTGGGGTACGTTCGCGTACTCGGTAATTATTTAAGTGTAGAAGCATACTAGGACTTGTTTAACTAATTCCAAATTAGTATCATGATAGGTATTGGTTGGAATTATTTGTTGGATTGATTGTGGTGATTGATTTGTGAAGTATAAATTATTTGAGGTGAATTAGTGATTGAAATTAATTATGATGGCATGTTGAATATGGACCGCACTTTTATTATTGGAATGATTGAAGGCATGTTTAATTAAACTAAATGTTTAATTTGGTTTGGATTACACAAAAGAGAATTTTATTATGGTTCAAAACTTCAAATAATTTTTATTAATGCTATAAGCATGGAAAATGAGCTATTTAAGTGTCTATGTACATGAGGATTGATTTATATTTTGGTGCCTAAGTGCACTTAAGGTGTACTAAATACTGAGGGATAAGATTTGTGGTGGATTATGTGCTAAAGGTGTTATTTAACGTCAAGTTAGTTTAAAGAGGGTTCAACACTAAATTAATTGTGGTCACTAAGTATTCAAGAATTAAATTGGTATGTTGGATTGCTTGAATGAATTATGTGTGTTGGTTGTTTTATGGTTTGAAAGTCATCACTAGGTCTAAAATATGTAAATAACGTAAAGTGAAAGAGATTACGCACTAAAACTCTTAGAACGTATATACCTTGAGTATGAACATATGGGGGGAGTTATGTGACTTTATATTTGATCATAACTTCTACTAGGAGTAAAGGACGTTGTATTTTCCTTTTTATTATGCACAGGAATTTTGCCACTTACCAGTGGTTCTTGTATACTGGCACGGTTAGCTCCCGTGTTAGTACCCCTTTATTGGGGCAGGTTAGGGGGAGAACCCGTTCGATGCGTAATCAATCAAATTAAGTAAGCAACGTAAATGTCTATTAAATGAAATGTGTGTTGTATGCTTCTAAACAGGTGCAACAAGGAAAGTTGTGTGATGCTAAGATATATGCATGTTAGTGTGAATCGTTTACGTTTATGTACTCAGCATTGCTAATTGTGTGTTGTATGTTTGTTTGACCTTGTCTTTATCTTGGCCCTACGACGACCCTTTTCTAATGGCGAGTAGTGGGGACAATAAATAGAACATTTTCAGGTGATGGAGCATATTCATGATCGGCATGAGTGAAGAGTATATCTTGTTTAGTTTCCATAAGAATATGATGGTTTTTTATTTGCTTTGATTATTATTGTGAGACTAACGCGGTGATTTTAATATTCGTTTTGTTTTTGAAAAGGGCCTACAATGGTTCCAAGTTGTAGGTTGACTATGTTTGACTTTGGTTTGACTTTTAAAGTTGACTAGTTTTAAATGATTTTAAAGCGAGTCTTTCGCAGTGTGTCTTTGATAATTGCCTTAGCCGTTATCACGGTGGTGGTAATATCTTAGAATTTTCTATTTCGTACTTTAAAAAGAGCAAAACAAGTATTATAAAGAAAAAAAATTTCTAGGGTGTTACACTGAACTTCGGGAACTTCGGGCTTTTTCTATGCCCAAAAAATATTTCACATGACCAAAATCTTTCTATTTTAAACAATCACGCACTAAGATAGGCTTTGAAAGTAGCAAGAGCAACGAAATCGTTTCCAAAAATAATAAGATCAACAACATATACTAAGACATTAATTTGAATATCAGCCTTAGTAAATGTAAACAAAGAATAATAAGATTGAAGAAAAATATTCTCTTTTAAAGCTGTCACAAGCTTAGCAAACCAACATCTTGTAGTTTACTTCAAACCATACAATGACTTTCACAATCAACAAACCAAAGAAGGATTCGAGCTCTCAAACCCGGGTTGAAGCTTTATATAGACTTCCTCATCAAGATCATTATGCAAGAAGGCGTTGTGAGCATCCATTTGGTGGAGCTCTCAATTCTTGGACTATAATAGCAAGAAAAGCCCGAACATTCGTCATTTTAGCAACTGGAGCAAATATAATTAATAATGATTCGTTGATGATTACCCAAAACAACCAAACGAGTTGAGACGTTCGACATCCCCATTAGATAAAAATTTGGTCTTGTAGACCCAGGCCATTGACTACCAAGGACACGTGTACCAGAAGGTAGTTGTTCCAGGATACATGTGTCATTGTCTTCTAAGAATTGAATTCTCTCTTTCATCGATTGTTGCCAACCATCATAGTGAATTGCCTCTTAAAAAGACATAGGGTCCTTACCCTTGATAATAGCTACAGGAAACTTTCGACAATCCCATGAAAAATTGTCACAATAAATATAGTGCTAAAGGATATGTAGTATCAAAGGAGTAATCGAAAGATGGAGCGGACGAAGATGGACTATTAGTAAACACCGTGTGAGTTACATAGTCACGGAGCTTAACCGAAGGAAACTTTTCTCGATGCGCACACCCCATGGCGTCGAGCTCTTGCTACTATGCCAAGTGCGCCTTATCAAGGCCAGTTGACTGCCAGCAGCCACACCCCCATCACCAGCGTGCGCAAGGATCAGTAATGTTCGGCTACTACTGGTCGACCATAGCGCCCACACCTCCAACCCTTCTTTTCTAACGGATATCCCACAAATATACATTTTCAACTTTTACTTGCAAATTTATCATAATTCGTTTTCTAATTATGAACAAAATACAAATATCCAAAAGTACGTTTTACATGAATCAAACGAGGGTGATTTGTGGAATATGATTTCACATGAAGTTTTATTTTGTAATAAAGGAGTGAGCGTACGATTTTATCACATGAGTTATAATGAGTGTCATTTAAGGCACTTATATGGTAGTATTTTAGTTTTATTTTACCACGTTTTTGTAGTTTTCTTTCTTAATAATTGCTTAATTTTGTTTCTTTGTTTATTCTTTCTTATTTCGTGTTTTAATTTCGTCCATTTTTGTAGTTATTTTCATCTATTCTCTTTTACTTGTTCCCTTTTTTTTTATTTTTTTTTTAATTGAATAAAGATCCTAGGTGAAGCTAAATACTTGATCTTGATGGTTTCTCAAGGTAAGGCTCGTGGTGCAAGCTCATAGTAGTTGGAGAACTCAAGAAGCAAAGAAAAAGGTTATTTCCAAGTTCATGCTTCCGTGCTCTTGTGTGCTCACACAAAGAGATTAGTGCACCCACGAGATTGAGACCTTTGCCGCTGCCCTCATGTTAAGCACCACAAAGCATCATGCTCGCGCACACCCTCAAATGACGCACGAAAGAAGCTGCTGCTACCGGGCAAGCACGCTAGTGTGCTACGGTCCGCATATGGATGGGCTTGCTACTGTGCATGAGAGGGGGGGGGGGGGGGGACAACCCTCTCATTCACGCGCACGCCCCCTGCCGCCTTGACTTGTTTTGCTTGTTTGTCCGTCAATTTAAGCTTACAAGTGCATTCACTTCAACTTTAACTACCTTCAGCTTGGACCTTAAAATTAAGGCTTGAGTTGCAGAACTGAAAATCACAATAGTTTGGGCTGACCTTCACAGCTTGAGATTCACTGAGTTTAGAACTTTTCACTAGAATATAGCCAAGTGTAAAATTATAAGCTAAACTTTGAACCTGAGCCAACCTCAGCTAAAATTAAGTCTCCTATAGCAGAACAGACCATAGATTCATAATACATGGGCCAAACAATTACAAATCTAATAGCAAAGCAACTGATAGCTATGATAATTGAAGTATGACAAAAGTGATTTAATAGCACAAATGGCAGTATCCAAACAAAAAAAACAACTTGATTTGTCTAGCTTTAACAAAACCGCAAGCATTCAACTCTTATGCTCAGTACTTGACTGGGGCAAGAATTTCTAGCTGAGATCCAAGCTTCTCCTCGGCAGCCTTCTCAGCCTTCACCCTCAATTTGTTGAGCTGCTTCTTCCTTTCATATACAACCTTGGACCTCTCCTTTCTCTTCTCCTCAAGCTCCTGTAAGTCATGACAATGTGCAGCACAACTTAAAATTAGATTAGAGCAAACAGCTTACTGCTAGGCTGCTTAAACAACAAGTTAAGGACTCATAGTTCCAGACTTCAAGTGTAGCATACAGGGAACAAATAATATATAGTACTATTTACAACTAAGTTTCCATGATAGCAGACCTAAACATGTCAACATAAGGATTTCAAGTTATGCAAAGTCAATGTATTATGTAAATTTGAGAAATCAGACTACTAATTCTAAAACACAATATACTAGTGGTACAAGGAAAAACCCCATTTATGTTTTAACTTGTCAATCTGATCAAATGTATGGAGTTTATTAAGGGGAAGCATGTTAAACTTCAACTGCTTCACAGGTACAAATATAAAACAAAAAATTACACATATTATAAATCTTAAGCTTACGTGCCATAAAACTTGAACATATTAACTAATGACAATACAACATCAAAGGTAACAAAAATTCAAATCATGTCAAAGTCAATAAATTAACTAGACTAATTCAAGAAATCACACAGATTCAGCAACATACACTTGGGCAAATGCAAACATCATCAATTAACAATACAGTTCCCGATTTCAGCAAACATTTTATTCGAACTGGAATCTAATCACACTCTAAAAAAGACCTACAGATTATTACCAAGTCACATACAGAAACAAGAATTAGAAAATTTATCAGCATAACAGAACTATAAAAATTTAATGAAAATTTGCCACTACATAAACTACTGAAGTTCTTTGCATAAGAAAAAAATTATTGAAACCTCATGTATCTCATTAAGAATATCAAAGCAAAAGAAAATCTTAATTGTTGGAATGAGGTTTGACAAGTAAATGTGCATCTAAAATTAATCAACTAAAAAGAAATCCATTGACAAGGATAACCATACCCTGATGGTGTCGTAGTGGTTCCAGCCGACTTCCTTAGATAGACGGCCAAGCAAGCAGTACTTGTGACCCTTCTGAAGTCTCAACACCCTGAATTATTCCAACAAAAGATATCAATAAAACAAAGACTTCAAAATAAAAACATCATTTTCATATCAAGAACTTGCAACTGAGATAATCAAAAGAATGATCAAACTCACTTGAGAGCATCGGGAACAACCACCCTCTTGACTTTGTCATAAGGTGGGGGAACTCCTTCGTACACCTTCAACCTTGCCAATGCAGCGGCTCCCCTCTTTGTCTTGTGAGGAATCATCCTACATAAAACCAATTGCACAACAAAACCATTTACCCCATGCAATGATCAAACATAATACCCAACTCCAATCAAAAAGCACAACAATTTCGCCATGAATTCAATAATACTTCGTATCAGCTTACTCGTTAAAACATTCCCCTAAGTCCCTAACAACGAAAGTATACTACACTCTAAGAAGTCTAATAATGATAGAATAATTAAACAGCATTCAACAAAATGCGCCAATTTTAATTTCAACCCAATTAAAATCAAGAATTAAAGTAATTCACTCTATCCTTAAGTGAAAAATCTAAACTTTGTCATTGAAAAACTGCTTTTCTCATCTATAGAAGCTAATTTCCATACACACATATTATCAAACATAAAAAAAAAATAAAAAAAAACTACCAATCACATAGATCGATAAACAAACCTTAAAATCTTATAAGAAATCAAGCAACAAAAACGTGAGATAAAAAATTACCCTCTAACAGTACGCCAGAAGATCTTAGAAGGGGCACGGAAATGAATAGGACCATGAGAAGGCTTAGTGTTCATCCTCTTACGAAGAAATCGAAGGTACTTCATCTTCTGCCTAACAAGACCACCAGAAAGAGCAATCTCTTCGCAACGAACAACAACAACGCGTTGCCCAGTAAGAAGCTCCTTGGCTGTAATGGAGGCTAGACGCCCCAACATATGCTGTCGACCATCGACAACCACCCTTTTCGCCATTAAACCTGATCCTGAAACTGCAATCAATAATTCGAAATCATCAGATTGAATTGAAGAAGATGAAAAAGAACATTGCTGGAAATTGAGGAGAGAGAAAGAGAGAGAGTGTGTGTACCCATGGCTGCAGCAGAGTGATGAGAAAATTAGGGTTTTTGAGGGTAAAAATGGAGGACGATAAAAGGGGGTTTGAATAAGAAGGTTAGGGTTTGGTTGTGATAAGTTGGGTTTTTGTTGAAAAAATGGGCCAGACTTTGTAATACGAGTAATTTTTATAGTGGTACCAATTTTATGATGAGGGAGTTTTTGCCGTTTTGAATTGAAATCATGCTCATAAGCCCATCCTCATTATTTCGCCCTCTATAGATTAAGACACGGTCTTGCGAGAAGACAATTCTAATCTCCTACTTGTTTGCATGTTTATTTGCTATTTTATTGAGTTTTAGTTGAGTGAATTGATGAGAGAGAAAAATAGTGGGGCATAAAGTATTCGTTTGTGTGAGTAAAAGTGATGGTCCCATAGACACTTAAGGTATGAGGCAATCTTTTAAGGACACCCATGTATGAAAAATGAGGCAAATAACTAGGGACAGAGAGAGTATCATGTATCTTACCTTACAAAAAAAAATAAAAAAAATAGATAAAAAATTACTTCGCCTTGTATTCTATTTCGTATGTCTCTATTGCTCAGTGTATAAGTGAAAGGGGAGGTGGTGGTGTCCCTCTAAAAAGACTTAATTATCCTTAACGTTATAATTTTAAAAAGCTATTAATTACAAGCAAAAAAACATTGACATAAATGTATCAAATCAATCAATAGTAAATTTTATAATCGTCAATTAAGAGTAACTCCAATGGTTGTAGCTAGGGACTTGCTTGCAATTTTAAATAGTCCTTAGCTACTATCTTGACCATTGGAGCTAGATTATGCAATTAGCTTGCAAAGCTAATTTGCTTGGAAAATATTTCCAAAAGAAAAGGATATAAATACGTTAGTAATTAAGATGAAAACAATAAAGTAACAATTTAAATAGGAAGCTAATAGGTAGCCATTAGGGCTGTAACTAGCTAGAAAGATAATTAGCTTTAAGGCTTATGTGGCATGACAAAGCTAATTTGACAATTAGCTTGCCTTTGAAGTTGCTCTAAGGTTTACCTACAATTTGGAAATTTAATTGTTGCAATTAAGCATGTGTTAAAGTGTACTACCTCTGTTTCGAATTATGTGCAACAATTTTCAAAAACGAAAACTACACATTATGTGCAACGAAGCAAAAATTTCCTCATTTAGAAAAAAATTTAATATGAAATTACTACATTACCCTTACTTAAAATTTCCAATTCAGGATTCAGAGACTAAATTAGACTTAGTTAATTACTAACACAAATTAATCAACATAATGACCCCAATCAAATTAAGTTAAATTAAATCTTCCTCCCACCCTTCATTCCACCGAATCAACTCATCATCTTCCATCTTCATCATTCATTCATCTTCTCTAGCTAATTCTGCCACATCCACGACCACCAATCTTCAACTCTGACCACCACCGTTCGTCCGTTCACCTTCGGCCACCACCAAACTCCTCTATTTCTCTTCTTTGTCATCCGCTTCCTCCTCTCTTGTTAGGCCGTATAATGTATTTATTTAGCTAATTGTGTAATGTATAGTTAGCTCTTTGGGCTATGTAGTGTTAAGCCCAATTTAATATGTATATATATACTCTTCTTTACAGTAATATAAACCACGAAAAATCATTTCCTAGCATGGTATCAGAGCCTCTAGAATTCTAAAACCCTAAAACCTAAAACCTACAAAAAAAATTTCTCTGATCGTGATGGGTGAATACGGCAAAATCGATCTATCATCCCCCTTTTACCTTGGCGCTGGAGATCAACCAGGGAACTTGATCACTCACGTGGTCTTGAATGGTGAAAACTACCTTGCTTGGTCCCGAGCAATCACTTTATCCTTGAAATCAAGGCGAAAATATGGTTTTGTTGATGGCACAATCTCCAAGCCGAGCGAGAAGAAGAAGATGCTTCATTGGGAGACGGTGAATTCCATGTTGGTGTCGTGGATATTGCGCCATTGATGCTAAACTTGCGGCATCTATACCCTATTTTGACGAAGCAAAGAAGCTTTGGGATTATTTGGAGTAGAGGTTTTGTGCGGCTAGTGGACCTCGCCTCTAACAACTGCGGACTGCAATCACTAATTGCAAACAAACAAAGACTATGACGGTTGAGGATTATTATAATACTTTGACGGGTTTCTTTGATGATCTTATTCGTCTCAAGCCCCATCATGGCTGTGAATGTGGGCAGTGCACTTGCAATGTTGCGGCAAAGTACGAAATTGATAGAGGCGAAGAAAAATTGCACCAATTTTTAATTGGTATTGATGATGATAAATATGCTGCTGTGAGAACTAACTTGTTATCGCAGCAACCTCCGGCAACATTGGACCATGCATATCAAGCCTTTCTTCAAGAAGAGTGTTCCCGTGGTATTGCTAATGGAAAAAGCTCAAAAGGAGAAAGATGAAGCTCATGTTTTTGCTCTGCCAAATGATCGGTTGTCTAATTCTTCGGCGCGTCGTATTGATAAGTCGAAGCTATCTTGCTCTCATTGTAAACGCTCAGGCCATGACAATTCCGAGTGTTTTGTGCTTCATGGATACCCTCCATGGTGGCTAGAGAAGTACAGGAAGAAGGGGGGTCTTCTTCTGCAGGTCCGACCTCTGTTCAGCCCACGTTTGTTGCCTCTGCTGCTCGTACTCCTGCTGCCCCTGCTCGTACTACTGCTGCCTCTGATCACGGCAGTTCCATGGTGTGAGCTCATGCCGTGGGAAGCAACCTTGGCAGTGGTGATATATCCTCTGCTTCATAGCAAGAAAATGGTGGTGGTATCTCCTCTTTGTCTGACTTTCAACCCGAACATGTTCGTATCTTATTAAATATGATCAATCATCATCAACAAGATAAGATGATTGGTGAGTACTTCTCTCTTTCTTGGATTATTAACACGGGAGACTCCCATCATGTGACAGGTGACGATTCGTGCCTTATTGATGTGCAACCCGTACCCCCGTGCCTTGTTAGCCTTCCGGATGGTGCTCAGGCCGTGGCTACAAAAGAAGGTAGTGTGGTGTTGGCTAATGGCATAATACTCGACACGTTTTATTTGTTCCTAAACTAAAATGCAATTTAATATCGGTGTCTAAATTAATTGACGATTCACATTGTTATGTCCGATTCACTGACTCTTTATGTGCTATACAGGACCAACTCTCGGGGAGCCTGATTGGAGGAGGTGAACGAATAGATGGACTCTACTATTTTCGGCGGCTTCCTACAGTATGTGCGGTGTCGGTTTTGGAACTTTCAGCATTTGAGCTATGGCATCGTCGTATGGGGCATCCGTTAGACAGAGTAGTCAAGTTAGTTCCTGCTGTTATTGCTAGTTCTGGTGGAAAAACTTTGAATAAAGTTTGTGATATTTTTCCTCAAGCTAAACAAACTCGTGATAGTTTTCCTAATAGTGATAGTAGAGCTACTCGTATTTTTGAGATGATACATTGTGATCTTTGGGGGTCGTATAAGACTCCTTCTACTTGTGGTGCACACTATTTTTTGACTCTTGTGAATGATTTTTCAAGAGGAGTTTGGGTTTATTTGTTGCATGACAAAACTGAAGTGTATTTTGTTTTTTGTTCATCATTTCCTAGCATCTCTTTTCCTTTTTTTTTCATCACCACCATTAAAGCTTGAGGTTTTTATGGTCAAATTATAGTGAAAACTCTAGATTTAGTGTATTCATGGTCAAATTTTACCAAATAAAGCCCTAAATTATGATTAGAAGGATGATTAGAAGAAAATAATCTACCATTGTAATCTTTTGTTCATAATTTTAGTGTTAATGGTTATTTTTTGTCGAATAGGGGTAGGGGTTTCACAGTGGTGGATTTTTCATGTTTGATGGGAGATGGTTTCGGGGTGGGTATAGTGGGTTTTGGTTCGATTTGTGGTGGCTGGTGGGTGGGTTCTGGTTCGATTTGCCGCGGTTGGTGGGGTGGGTTTTGTGTCGATCTATGGAAGATGCGGAATTGGGTTTTGGGTCAATTTCTGGAGGCTACGGGGGTAGGTAGGTATGTTTTAGGTCGGTTTGTGATGGCTACGAGGTGGGTGGGGTGGGTTTTGGGTGGTTTCTGGCCTGGTGGTTATGATTGATTGGTGGCAGTGTTATTGGTGCCCAACCCACACCTTAATTAATTGCATTTTGCCTTTTACGTTTTTTTTTTATTTTTTATTTCTCTTTCTTTTCTTTTTTCCTTTTTTTTTTCCTTTTCAAGAGCAAGCGTGTAGTTTTCTTAACTTCTCGTACTTCCTTTAAGGCTGGTTACCAAGCTTGGAACGAAGACACTCGGGCACTTGCATTCTACGTTTACCATCAAATAATCCACCCCTTTCGAACCATCCCCTTTGTCAACTCATCCTATTCCAACAATGCCAACCATCGAACAACTCCATGAAGAGATTATTCGTATGAGAGAGGAAAAGGCTCAAGAAGCCGAGGCTAGAAGGATTAAGAAAATTGAAAAGGCCAAAAAGAAAGAGGCCGAAAAGAAAGAGGCCGAAAAGAAAGAGGCTGAGGCTCTAGCTATAAAACAAAAAATGGATGTTTTAGCCGAACGAGAGAAGACGTTGGAGAACTTGTTCTTCGTTCTACAATGGGGAACAAGTACTTTGACAGAGAAAAGTTTTCTCATCTTATGGGACTTACATTACCTGAAAAGTTTGTAGCCACAGACTTACCAATGTTTAAGGTGACCAATAATCTAAAAAATCATCTAATGAGTTTTACTAGCACCATGGCTCTAAAGGAGTTGATCCTAAGCTATATGCTTTGACATTCCCTTTATCTCTAGACCCAGCCGCAAGAGAGTGGTACTATGGGCTAGATGCCAAATTCAAAAGTACATGGGAAGATGTAGTTTCGGCTTTCATCACCCAATATGAGAGTAACGTAGAGTTCAAATCAACTTTGCGTGAACTTGGAATGCTTAAACAAGGCGACAATGAAGGTTTCCTTGCTTTCTATGGTAGATGGCGTGAAAAGGCGGCCACCTTTCCCAAAGCCCGCTCGAACTCGAGTTAGTACAAAAATTCATTGACAATAGTCATGAAAAGTATAATAAACATCTACGCTACCTTGGTCTAGACACTTTTTAAAAGGTCTATTCCGTGGCCACTAGGATT